ATATAAATTAATCTATTTCTGTGATTATATAATCTGAAAGTAAATTAACGTTACACTAAGTAGTTATAGTCTGAGTCAAATGTATTAAATTTGACTCAAATCAAATTTATTATTTATTATTTACTATTTAGTTCAATTAAACTATTTAGTTAAATTATTATTACTGACAATATTAACAATAAGTAGTAATAAATAAAAATAATTAATTAAACTTGTATCAAATTTAATACAATTTTTTGAGTTAAGTTGTTTAACTCTATTGTGTTCTTTAAATTAATAATATATTGAGGAGTAGTGTAAGAATCGGCTCTAAAGAAGTGATAAAAATAACTTAAATTATGTATAATTTGGCATTATGAATTTAAGAATAGTATAGTTTCATACTTTCTCAAATCAAAAGTCAAAAGAAATCACAAATAAATATAATTTAGAAAATTAATGATCTTTAAAGAAAGATTCAAAAAATTAAATATCACAAAATCGTCTAATTTTTATTCAAATTAATAGACTTCAGTTCAATGTATAAAATAAAGAAGCTAAATAATAGGAATAATTAAATCTGCCAAATTTTTATTAAAGAATTGATCGAAGAATCAAGAGGTATAGCTTTGGCAATTTGTGCCCATCTACTTCTGTATTAGTTTCCGTAACGCCGCGCGGCAACGATGGAACGGTTTCAGATAACTACCATTCCGTTTGTCCTCTGTGACATCTTTTCAGTCGAATATGTACCGAGTAACGCATGGAATGCATGAGAGAGAGAGAGAGAGAGAGAGAGAGGGAGTCGCGCTACAGCCATCTTTCATACTTTGACTTCCGGCGAGATGAGTATGAGGTATCGCTTTGCATGGTACCGTCTAGTTCTCGGATGGAGACGGATGATGGATCTACCGGAGCTGTTTTATGATTACGTGCCCGACGATCTTTCGTTGCTTCCTTGGCATCGCAACGGCACTGGCTCCTATTTCGCGCGTCAGTTCAGCCGGTGTCTCGTGATACGTGCCCGAGGTATAATGAATAATCCTCAAGGTACACTACGTGCATACCAAGGAAAAAGACTGTGCGTTAATATCAAAACAAAAGCCTGTAAGGACTAAGAAAAAGTTGCGACAAAATTCGCTTCAGGATTGCTGTTTAATTAAAAACATAAAGCAATAAGATGTAAGCGAATCGGCCAATTATGATAGAGAATGAAGATTATTGTTTTACGTTTTCTACTGTAACTAATGGCTAATTCACTTACTACTTACGTCTTCTACTGTCTTAGGTTTTTCTTTGTGTTTCCAGTTTAACCGATCCGTATGTCTTAATATGTACGTTTGTGTTTCTGCGAGCAGAAATTAGCGTTTAGAAACTAATCTCCATTCTGACGTAGAGTCCAAGGAGACTTAACCGATTCTTGGCTTTAATCTGGCACCGCGCGTGTTTTCGAGTTGCCGTGGGATCTCAAAATTTACCAACTCAAATTACGATGCATTACCTACAAACCGGTACGATGGTATCTCTCTAATGACCGCTCTAATAACCAAGGGGAATTTACTTACTTATCCTGACTTGCGAGTTCCCGCGGGAGCCACTGCGCCGGACTGCAAATCTTCTCCAAGGAGTTGGTGGTATCCAGCGTCCCGCTTTCCGGCGAACCGTCGAATATCTCGATCGTCGACTGACAGGACTGTGCGCTGTAAAATCGATAGCGGGAATATATCTATCAGTGGATTTTACGACGGACCTCATGCGCGCTATCAAAATTCGTCGTCCCGTAGCAGGAAAATTCACCGTCGATACATCAATTGTAAATTCTCGTGTAGAGAATTTTGAAGGATGTAGCGATCTAATGCGCTTTTCACAGAGAAACGAAAAAAAAAACTTGGAATTCTAAAAAAAAGTATATGTGTTAAATGTATTATTACACCGATTTCCTCGCCTGTCAATTTCTCTTTTAATCTGGAGGAAAGATTGAAAGCTTTTTGGAAACGTTACATCCGATATTTGTTCCGGGATAATCTGTAAATGTATCATCCGAACCAAAATATTCGAGTGCTGCGTTTTCGTTTGCTCTAATCGCCTCACAGACGCCGCGTCTGCGGAAAGTAAGCTACAAATCCGACACGGATGCCGCTATTACGCGCATGGGAAAAAAAAAGGAATGAGTGAGTGAGTGAGAGAGAAAGGGGGGGGGGAGAGAGAGAGAGAGAGAGAGAGAGAGAGAGAGAGAGAGAGAGAGAGACACGGAGGAGGATTTGGTAGGTGAGAGATGGACGATATTCCCCGTGCTCGGAGATACTTTCTCGGTTCACCTGGCGCTCGGATTTACAATATTCCGTTCAAAATTCATGCTACCTTCAATAAAGCCCTCCGTTCTGCGTCTCGTAAGTACGCGCGCGCGCGCACTCACACATCTTCCACCGGTTATATGGGATAGCGGCTTCGAAGCCCGACAGTGGAGCGTTCGTATATGATGTCGAGAGGGTTGTCGGAGATACGACTCGTCGTCGTCGTCGTTGGTTCCGAGAGTAGTTTCATCTCTTTGCCGCGGCATGTTCCGTTTCCACGAACACGTACATAACACGTCTCCGAAGATTCAGATACGCGTTCCGCATGTCGTTGGCGTAGCATGCGCATGATAATTGAAAATCCCAGGGATGCGGACCCGCCGGTGTATCCTCGCGTGATTTAACGCTACTTTCCGCGACTACGCGCCGCGACGAGTCTCGGGGTGGTTTCCTTCTCCATCCCCATTCTGGCGCCATTTCAATAAGTTACGCAAGTTGCTACTAACTGTGAAATAAGAGTCTCGCGCAGACGTAACAGCACGATTGCGGAATAATGTTTCTTTCATGTTCTTAGATATTCTTAGATATTCCAAAGTTTCATGACAGATTTCTCAGATTTATGAATATTAATCAATATTGACATTTCACTCTGATTTACGAGAATACAGAATAATATTACTTCACACGTAATAAAAGTGTATATCGGAACTTATGGCGCTTGACTATTCAATAGTACAAACCACCGACCGTTTTTACCGTGCTTTACTATCACGAATTCAACGTTACGTGTACAACCCGCTGCGGATTTGTAGGGATTTGCCAGATCAAAAGTGGTGAACAATCGTTTGCGAGAAACGCAATTCCACATATACACGTTGTGTTCTCCATTACATGACTACAGTTTTCACCGGTTTGTTCGGTTCACGTTAGAGAAACATGTCGAACGAATAGACACGAAGAGAACGGCGTGGAAGTAAAGAAGGATATGGTTTTTCACCTTCTAAGACCGCAGTCACACGTGCGTTTCAATGTGTGACTTGAAGGTTCGTGACGGTGGGCGAATCAGGTTACCTGAGGTTGTAACTGGCTATGGAAACGTGTCCAGTGTCGTAAGCACGGCCACGCAGTAAAAGCTTGCACGTCGTGGACTTGGGTTTGCCCCTGGTATCATGGTGGCCGGCTCGGACCTTCTCGCCGCTCACCTCGAGGTCGCAGCTGCTGGTCACGGTACCTTGGTCCTTGCGATGGTCATGGAGGTCGCGATTGTTGTAGTTATTAAACTTCATCAAATCAACTGAAAGATCGGAGAGCTACATAAGCTTTGCTAATAGTTTATGATCAAGCTATGATATTAGTTGTCTGTGAACAGGAACATATATGAAGAAAACTAGAATATACTAAAAAAGTCTATAATATGTCTGCAATATGTCTATCAAATTTATTTTGTTTATTATATTGATACAATATTCGTAAATATTATCAAATGTAATAATAATAATAATATATTACATTGATGTAAATATTATAGGAAAGTCGCCGACATACTACTTTATTTTTAGACAATATTTCTTAAACAAAAGATAAAAAATAGAACTTTAAAAAATAAGAACTTTAATAAATAAAACAAATTAAAAAGTGTCTTTTATCAGACAATATAAGCAGTTTTTATAATACTTTTTTCTAATACTTTTTTATAATACTTTATTTTATAATACTTTATAATAGTTTTTATAATACTTTTTTTTATATTGTTTACAATTTTACAATAATTAATTTTTTCGCAAGATAAGCAAAAAATGAGGATCTGAAAAAATGGATTCCAAACTACACAGTGTATTCTTATTCTTTTTTTCTTATAGAAATTATCTATATAAAGTACCTACAAATGAACATAAGATTTTTCAGAATCTCTTCACTTCGTCAGAAAACATTTTTAAATTATATATATATTAAATTATATACATATTTACTTTATGCTGTTCTGCAAGATGCAAATAAGTGACACAATAGTTTTTCAAGAATTTTTCCGTATTGCCTTCAGTGCCAATAGAATTATTCGACACTATAAAGCAATGTTATAGAGATTAAGTTAGTTCATAATCTGTTTTACAGACAGGTGTGGCGATTTACGCTGCATCCTAATTTTAAATTTAAAATCATATTATGAATAAACTAAGAGAAAAAATAGTATAAATAAAATTGATTTATGAAATTACAAGCATTTAAGACGACGTAATATTGTCAATAATTATAGTTACTATTATTTAGACTACGCAATTTTTTGAAAGAAAATCGTAAGAATTTTATTTTCGCATTCGTAGAATTCGTTTTTAATTGGTATAGATTTGGTATAGAAAACTACAAATACGAATTATGAGTTTGTACTTCTTTAATTAATTAAACAAATGATTTTATTAATGTTAATAAATTGTAATAGTTAGTTTCTGAAAAATAAGGGAGTGTCGTTTTAGGAGACCTATGTCAGTATCGGTGACTTTCCTCTATCAAATGTAATAACAATAACCGTAATTAGAAAAATAAGATAATATTTAGAAAAGTAAAATAGATGTTTAGTTGATTTTGATTATATTTTGTGATTACCTCAACATTTAATTAAAATTATTTATTAAAGCTTTTAAATGCTTGATTATTATTTAAAAGCTTGATTATTATTAGTAGACCTTTTTTTTTAGTAGAATCTAAATTATTTCAAATCTTTTATTATCATTTTTTATTAAAGTTTAGTAGAAATATATTAAAAGTGTATAAGTACTAGATTTACTCGATGCGATGATTTACGCTAGAGATATGCTTTCTCTTATTACTTACGAGTTTTATTCGTGCTATCGGTGGCAATCGTCGTTGGAGCTTCCGTCGTCACTTCAATAAAACTCAGTGTCGCGACGAAGCCATTATAATCGAAGGGCGATACTTCGGGACCAGTTCTGTAAAATGAATATTTCTGAAGGCATAAGATAAGATACTTAAATCGATTGAGAACTCGAAACCGATCGATCTCATCTGTCCTGTTGATAAAGAGATGCGTTTCTCACCTAAATTCAACGAGGAGTTCTTGACCTTCGTATACCAGCGTCGTCTTCTCCTTGCCACAGAGCATCTTCAACAACGGACTTGACGTGGTTGGACCAGAGTAAACGGCGATGTAATCGCTGGTGCAATGGCTGCAACGAGAATAGAAGTGCTTCCGTATAAGATGACTATGCATCCGGGGCGGTTTAAGGACTTCCTTCGTCTTTCCGTATAAACGGAATAAACGCCGGTAAAGCGATAGGTGGATGGGAAAGGTGGAGCGAAGGGTAGGGCAAAGGGTAAGAGACTATCGAAAACGGTTGAGAATCGGTGTACCGATTTATCAGAGAGTTCACGAGGATGAACTCGATTCGAAGGGGTAAGTCCGTGGAAGTTTCGCCATTAAGAAAATATCCAATATTACCAGCAAGGCAGAAGCGGCTGTGCCGAATTACCGCGATGGGATAGCGTGATTTATTTTACGAGGGAACTTCATCGCCGTACGCTTCGCAGGGACGATCCCTCACAGCTGGGATCACGAAAATGCGATTTTAATAATGTGGCCAATTAGGGGTCATCGCGTGGCTTTACGAAGAAGATTGCCCGTGCCTCCGGATTACTATGTAGAGTGATGATTAAAAGCGGTCTCCTCGTAATTATCGTCGACAGTATTATACGATGTGCTCTGTTATTGACAAATAATCAGCCTGAAGATAATTGCTGGTCTTCTATTAAAAAACTTTAGATATTAGACCTAATATCTGTAGATGAAATCCCTTTTTTTTTCTTTAATATAAATTAATTGCAAGAGTTTGAAAATACATGGTCTCTAAATCGGAATCAATGGATAATCACTGATTGGCACAACAGTGCCAAATATGCCACTGTTAATTAATGAATGAAATGTGGTATCCCTAACCTATAGCGAACCTTGCTTCGGTATATAAGTATAGCGCATTCAACGTATATGATATTATAAGATTAGAATTACAATATACTAGAACGTGTAAATATCGATATTTTAACTATTCAAACTTCTTTTCTTTTATATATGAATTTTATATTTTTTTTTATAGTTGAATTTTACTGATTATTCAGTGCCAAATGTGCTAATATAATATGCTGATAATTCAGTACCAAGTATGCCACACTCAGTAAATTATGAGTATTCACTGATTGAGATTTAGAGAGTATACATTATAAATATTATTCGTTTTTTTGTATATCGCAGTATTTATATTGTATAAAAAATTTATTAATGAAAAATTGGAAAACCTAAGTAAAATTAAACTTTTATTTTTATTGTAATTTTTATGTTTAAGCTGTACTTAATATTCCTCGAGAGATTGTAGGAAAGATAGTCCTTTAAAATTTGAATACGGATGCAAATGAATTTCATGGTGAATATTAATCAGAATATAGCTCTTGGTTCATCATCGTTATTATTACAAGTTTGTGCCGCGAGAGCGACAATGTAAAATATTCGATAGTGATATTCGCCAAGATTCTGAAGTAGCCGTTCTAAACACGTAACAGGTGCTTCAGAAACTTTTCTCATAATTCTAATTAATTATCTCAAAGTACGAGCGTGAAGAAATTAATGGGAAAACTTCGTTGCTCACGGTTCGATTTTGCCAGCTGAATTTTGCAGTTAAAATGAAATTCCATACCTCAAAGTCTCGTGATCTCATCTCAGATATACTATCCCGAACTGTGTTGACCTTTCCTTCCCGCCCAAGATGCACGATACTTAACTTTAATCGCGTGCAACATGGATTGTGGATCAATTGCAATATATTGTATGCTACACGCGATTAGTTCTCGATCTAATAACCATTGGATCGTGATCTCTTTGTGCTACTTCGATTATTACTAGATTCAAGTTTTTTTACAAATTTGTTTCATTAAATATATTTTTAATCGATGCGTTACTAATCGGTACATTTTTAAAATAATTTTTCCGCAATTTAATTTACAGAATCCGGTTACAACTGCTATATTTCTCGCAATGATATTAAAACAGGATTTTTCTTGTTTTTTTTTTCTCTTTCTCGCTTTCTATCTATCTATCTACCTCTCTATTTCTCTTTCAAACACTCTTACACGCAAACTTGTCGCTCTCGATAAATTAGATCCCACCCCTCGAATCCACGAACAATGAACAGGCCGTAATTATTTTCATTAGGAGATAGCCGAGGGAAAAGCGGGCTGTCGCGTTGGTCGGGAACGGATCGTTGCCGCGGAAATAGCTCTGTACGTCATTTTCTACCCGAGCGGTTCGAACACCAGAAAATCGGATTCCTCCAGCCCCATTTCGCGCGAGGCTCGCGTCGTCGAGCCATCGGATGGAGCATAAAAGAAACGGGAAAGCTTCCGCCCATCCGGACAGCGGTATCCCGTATTGTACCGTACCGGTAAAATGCGTTACAAAATGCCCCCGAGATAACGCCCTGCAGCATAAATCCCCGTCGAAGTAAATTAAAAATCTACTCGACCCCGTCAATCCACTCTCCATCACGAAATTCTCATCCGGGTATCTCGTTTTGCATCGTACGGTGCAAATATATGGTTTTTATGCAAATTTTCTGAATTTTCGTCTCGCGTCGCGAGAATATTTCCGTTTGCTAAATCAGACCTCCTCGCGCTAAATAGCCACGTCGAGATTGCCGATGCGCAACGGTTCGGACGGATGCGCGAAATCCGAGAGAAAACGAAAAATAAAAAAAAAAAATAAAAAAAAAACAAGCGATACAACGCGTCGGAAAATGCGTTATTCCGAAACTTTGTCATTCTGAAACATCGTTTCTGCGCGATATTTGAGCGAGCGAGCCGCGGAGTTCCGATAAATCGCGGTATTGAAATCGAATGAATACATACTAGTTTGAAAAAATGTGGGATTTCGAATTTTTTTCCATTTCGTAAATGTGGAAAAAAAAGTTTAATTTTCTCATAGATTCACTCATATGTTTTCGGGGAATTTTTGATTCTTCGTTTGCGTGAGTTTTCGGGTATTTTTCGCATACTATTTAATTTTCTTGGAAATATGACATTGTTTCACTCTCTCGTATTTCCAATTTTGAGATCACAATTTTTGCGAGATTTTAAGTGTACGTTCATTCGCGCGAGAAGGAGTATCGAAGAATTAAATGCGAAAGAACGTTCTTTAGCAGCGCGACGGAGTGGCATAAAGTTCCGCAGAACATTTTATCCTCATTAATGGCGCCTTTGGAAACATAATAGCGGTTCGCTGAAAACCGCTTTCGCTGCTCGCTTTGGCCTCCTCAACACGTTGATTATAAAGTGATTAAGGAGTAAAATCCGAGTGCAATGGGGTAACAAGATGTTCGTGTGGCAAAAGAACTCCACGATGATTAGAATGATTCTATTAATTAAACATAGCTGCGATCTCACACGTTTATAAGGGCTATCGTCGATAATGTTGTCCTTTGTGTATGCGACAATTAAAACTATATACATTATAAAGAAACGCAACACGTAATTTTAATGTAATTTTATATTTAGTTCACTCTTTTTGCTAATGAACTTTTGTATAAGTACTTTTGATTATGACGATTCATGTTGGAAGTATGTATAATGTACGATTAAAATTAAAATCTGATCGGAGAGAAATTAATATAAAATTGATATTGCCCATTATCGCACTAATCAACCAAGTACGTATTCACTTATTTATAATTACAGAGGATGTATATCGCAAACAGATGCAACACGTATCGCATGTAGCTATGAGAAACTTGGAATCGATTTTCTTTGCAACACCTCCAACAACTTTGTAAAAGAGTAATGATATGCAAGACGTACAAGCGTATACCACGAAATGCAATGGAAGGATCCATTGCTGAACGACTAAAAACTGCTTTCGAGGGAGCACCGTTGCGGTTCATTATACAACCAGAGTTACCCTTTCGGGAAACGATGACGACAATGACGACAGCGGAGAGAAAAACCTTGGCAATAGCAAAACCCATTTCTTGCAGTTTGACTCTCCTTGATTTTATTCATTCCACGACCTTGCCTCTCCACAATCCATCGTCTTGGGTTCTTTCTTCGCGGAATTTAAGGTGCGCAGACAGATTCACGAACGGCCAGGGTATATGTTAATCCGGTTGAGATTACATCGTCGTAAAGGCGTCGAGCCGTAATTCCCGTCTTTCCACGAGAAGAAGTGCGACAGGTCTGAAAGCAGCCTTTATAAGGAGGTATCTTGCCTCACCCTCGTGCCTCGGCACGATTCTTCAGCAGCCTTGCCATATTGAGTTGCGACGAGAGAAAAGTGAACCTGGTTACGTTTCCGTCGCAATCCGGAGTACCATAATATTTCTGCAATTCGCAGCTCCTTTTCGAGCGAGTGATAATTAAGGCGCCCTCCTCCTTTGTAATGGACATTAATAAATTACCATGACGTTACAAAGGACAGGTGTGCACGAAGTTAAATGCCAGAGCGGCCGTTGTCGTGCCGTTAATCATCGTTGAGAGAAGAAGAAAATGCAGTGCGAAGATTAACACACCGGTTTAATTAAGATTCGCAGAGTGAACGATTCATTGCGACAAATGTATTTAGAAAAGCATGCTTTTACAGCGCGATATTTCTACATTTTTCTGTGTTTCGCTGAGAAATTTTTTTTTCGACGAGCAGTTTAAAAAAAAAGAAATATATATATATATACATATATATATATATTTATAAATTCACACAAAATTATTTTAGCAGCTAAAGATCTAGCTTGACTGTTTAAGGTTCTTATTTCCTAAATCGTTTACGTAGTCACATAATAAAGTCTTATAGAATTATACTTAGTATCGCTGAGAAAATTTTGACATTTATTCTATTAGTTTCATTAAATAAAAATAAACAATAAATTCAAGGGTAATGAGAATCAAAGCAGACAGAGGTGCCCAATGATTCAATTATAAAATTTTAATTACACTCTATTATACAATATCTTCTTTATTTTGAACGTTTCGGAATCTTCTTTAAAGTTACATACGATCTTAACTCATTTTCGTTGAACGATCCGTCAAGAGTGAGTCACTATCAGGTTTCCCAATTATAGTGAATTCTATAATATACAAAATATGGAGTTAAAAATAATTTAAACTAATAAAAAAACCAAAAGTACTCACCTCAAAC